ATAACACTATCAGACTGGGACACCAAACATCAACCCTTTGAGACGCATCTTCAAAATCATACACCTAAACTATCCGTTCTCTAGAACATTTTATCAACATTCACCACGCCAAAATGTTGGCAGGAATTGTAGTATTGATGATTCTGTTTTACTTTTTCTCCGAACAATGGCGAAAAACCACTCGATTACCGCCAGGTAAACTTTTTATCCAATTGGTGTTTGTACCGTACAAAGTCCGCTGTCCAACTAAAAAACAAACTTCTTGATACATTTCAGGCCCATATCCTGTGCTTTTCTTTGGAAATATACCACAGCTTGCGCTCTACTCGTGGAAATATGGGGGCATTATTCCAGCTTTCAAGCATATTAAAAAGGTAGACATGTAAATTTGGATTTTCTAGATCTTTTTTTTATGCTTGTAGAAAAAACAGTTAGAGGCGGGCATTGCACAAATTTGCAAATTTTTTTTTTGGGAAAAGCAGTTCCTTGTTCTTTGAAGAAATATGGATCAGTCTTTACGTTATGGTTCGGACTAATTCCTACGGTACACATAGCCGATTATACGTTGAGTCAAGAAGCTATGGTCCGCTGTGGTACAAATTACCAGAATCGATGGAGCCCAGCAATAATGTTGGAGGAAAGAGGTGATTTCCAATAGCAAGTAATTTTTGAAAATAAAGGTTCCGAAAAACGAAAGGTCTTAAAAACGGAATTACTAATGTCCAAACCCCTCCAATTGCGATTACCTGAAATATCACTATTTTAAATCAGTAAAAGGTTATCATAATTGTTTTGAGTATGATCAAAATGCAGCAATTGATTATACCTCTGGAGGAAGTTGTAAAATGTTTGTGTAACAGAAGAAGATTTTTTTTTAGGTGATTGCGGCATAATAGCCTCAAATGGTCAGGTTTGGCAAGAGCAACGACGATTTTCACTGCATGCACTGAGGAATCTTGGAGTAAGTCGGAATCTTATGGAGCAACGAATCATGGAGGAAATAAATTTAAGGTAAGTTTGATCTGCTTATAGTAGAGGACAGTGTATGTTAACGTGAATCTGTTTTTTTTTCTTCCAATTGGATATACTTTTGCGCAAAACAGAATGAAAATTTACAAAGAAATTTTTAATCAAAGTTCTTCTAAAATAATTAGAGCATCAAATAATTCGAAACTTATCCGTCTATACTGATGTTCATAAAACTTTCAATAAATGCTTTTAACATTTCCCTATACTTTGTCCAAGAACTGGCAAAAGTTGCCCTATTAAAGTTTTATGAAAAATGTTGTGAGTCGAATTGTTAGCTGTGCTATCATGAATCTAATGTAATAGAAAGCAAAGCAGTGAAATAAAAGGTGACAATGATTTTCTTGCAGATTTGGTGAAATCGATCAACTATCACCTGGGTCAGCAGTGGATCCATTCTGCTTATTTGATCGCCTCATCGGTGGTGTTATCAACAGAATATTATTTTCGGTACCTAGAAGCGAGGTGAATGATCATATCTATTTATGCACTTTGAGGCATCACCGCTTTAACTATTTGCTTTGGCAGGAAGAAGAGATGAAATTTTTCAAATTGAAAAGGGAAATGGACAAATTTATCGAAGAACTAGACTTTAGCCACACACTCCTAAAGAAATGGATGCTAAAGTTTCCCATTTTGAACTCAAGATGGAACACTATCCTTCAACCTGTGAGAAGTTTGAAAGGATTCATCAAACAACAAGTTATAGAAAGGTGCGTTTGTTGTTGATATAAGGCGAAAGTATTCTACCTTTAAACCAACAATGCAACAATTTTATACAGTTTCCAACATTTATTCTCATCCCTTGACGGCAGAAAAAAATTTCATCTCCTCCAAAAACCTGCTTGCGAACATGAAGCATTATGCAGTAGAAGAGTCTAATTGCACCCAACTTGGAACTTATTTTCAGGATACGTGCCATAGAAGACGGCCGCCACATAGTTAGTGCTGAGCCTCAAGACTACACAGACGCTTACATCCGGAAAATCAACGAAAGTACCAGGGATGGCATTAAGGATAGCTCTTTTAAGTGGGTTGCTTTGCACTGTTCAAAGGTAAGAAGTGATGTAGCTTGGGACATACCTATCGTAAGCACAGTAGTTTCATATGGTTTACTCAAAATTTCCTCAATTTGTAATTATGCTATCCAGCGTTCTATTCATAAAACTGTGACGCGGGACCTTTACTTCACTTTGAATGCCT